TATAATTTATTTTTTTTTTTTTAAGTGCATTATTTTATTACATCAAGTTAAACTTAATAAAAATGAGATGTTGCATTGGAAACTAGCTTAAATAGAATACACTTTTAAATCAAGTAAAATATATTTTTCTCATGTTCATGATGGTTTGGGTTCTGTTGTGTTCAGACGGTCAAACTCAACAAAACCCTGAACGAGTGCATGCCTGGACTGACGGCCAAAGTGTTTCGAACCTTCAACGCCTCGACCACGCTGCAGGATCAGCTCAACAAACTCACCACAGGTGCGCCTGACCCTTGACCTCTGACCCCACCTGGAGCGTATCCGAAATCAATGACCTGCATCTTAGAAATATTCATAAAGCTGTGTGTCTGGTGTTTCAGAGGGCATGACGGTGGAGGAGAAGATCCTGTCGTATAACCGAGCGAACAGAGCCGTGGCCATCCTCTGTAACCACCAGAGGGCAGCACCCAAAACCTTCGAGAAGTCAATGCAGCTGCTGCAGGAGAAGGTGCGACACACCATCATCATCATCATCATCATCATCATCATGATCCTTACAGAACAACACCTGAGCTGATCTGAGCTCAGTAATGACCCAGGTGCCTTCTGAGAGTCAATGCACACTCATTCATACTGCGCTTTATACAGAACAGATCCATTCAGAGCAGCAGTAAACAGGAAAACAACTGAGAGAAATTCATCCATTATGAAACTAATTCAGTTTCAGTTCTATAGAGGACAATAGTGACTTCTGGGTTATCTTTAACGAAAACCACTCTTAGAACATTCATCAGAACATCTCATTACTAACCCTAACCTAACCCTCAACTGAAATAAATAAAACAAACATTATTACTAATTGGTAGAAATTAGACATGATTTAAAAAAAAAAAAAGTAAATCAATGATACTAAAATAATACTGTATTATTCTGCTTAATTCAGTTTAATAACAGTGTTAATGTTGTAAAAGTCATCAATTATGAAATTCAATTTCTGCTGTATAGCAGCTCTACAGAAAACAATAGAGGCATTATTCAGATCTCGTCTGATAGTATCTGTGTGTTTAATAATTATATTGAATATTAATTCTCGTAAACCCCAGTAGAGCTGCTTTACAGCTGAAATATAGTTAGCTTCATGATTGATGGATTGTGCTTTGAATCGGTCTCGCTGTATACAGTGCTGTGTGAAGAGTGTCTCTGAGTGTCGTTGAGTTCAGTCAGACGTTCCTGACCAGTTTCTGAGGTCAAACCTTATTGGATTCCAGGTGGGTTTGTACCTGCAGGGAAGTGCAGCGGTTTGAGCTGTAGAGGACGAGGCGGTCAGAAATAATCACAGCGATGATGGAAACAGCAGAGCGACGTCCAGTCGTTTAGAGTCACGGGTCACACGCTGCTTAATGCACTGCGCGCTGGATACACACACACACACACTCTCGCACACACACACACACTCTCTCGCACACACTCACACACTCTCTCACACACACACGAGAGAGAGAGAGCCGCCGGCGGTCAGAGGTCACGCTTTTGTCTCTCTGCTTCTTGTTACAGATCCAGAAGAAAAAGGAACAAATTGAAGAGGCCAAAAAAGAGCTGAAGGAAGCGAAGAAAGCTCATAAAGACGCTCCGTCTGACAAATCCAAGAAGTAAGGAGTCTTTTAAATGCTCCTGGACTCAAGGTTAGAGCCGATGATCCTCTGCCAGCAGTGTTTGTGCTGTAAAAGCATGAAATATTCAGACCGATCAACAGCCAAAAGAAACAAACAAACACTGCTGCTGTTTATCTGCAATCTGTTTTGGCCTGAAGACATTCACATTAAATCATTAAGGTTACCGTTTGTTCACTGAAAGTACGTTGCACCGGGTCAATTGCATTAAATTGCATCAGTGTTAAAGTCACGTTTTATTATGACAGTCATTGAAGCATCATAAACACTAAGCATTTATTTTTGTCTCTCATGACAACACATTCATTACATTTAATGTTATTCACAACAGAACAGGAATGAAAATTCAAAAAATGAAAAGTAAAAAAACAAACACATTACAGTGGCATTCATTAAATGAAATATGGCAGTTTTTAAGTCAATGTAAAATGTTGTCCTTTTCAGATTTATTACTGTTCACTAAAACTACTGAAACATTAATATATATATTAGATGGAAGATTGCAGATAGTTGCCAGGGCAACATCTTTAATTTTCATTTAGTTTAAAGGGGTCATATGATGCTGCTAAAAACATTATTTTGTGTATTTGGTGTAATGAAATGTGTTTATGCGGTTTAAGGTTCAAAAAACACATTATTTTCCACATACTGTACATTATTGTTTCTCCTCTATGCCCCGCCTTTCTGAAACGCGTCGATTTTTACAA